AGAAGACGCGTAATTGCCTCGTCAGATCTGACATATTCTACACGCGCGAGAGCTGGAGGTCAGACGGGGGTCAGACGGGGGGGGGTCACGCCGGCTTTCTTCTTCTGGGAGAGAACGGCAGCGGCGAGAGAGAGGAGAAACCGTCCCAGGTGTCGACCCCTGACCTTTCTCTCCCGTGGTTGTTGGCGGCCTCACACAGCGGAGCCCCGCCTCCTCTGAACCGGTGTTATCCCCCGGTTACGCAATGCTGGGAGCCGGTGATGCAATCATCACACAGCAAATTAAATAAGTGGTTGGATCTTTTTCGGCTCCCCAGACGTAAAGTATTCAAATGTTGACTCAACTCTAAGTTTGACTTAAATTTATTCCCGGAGAAAATTACAGCAAGCTGTTTACCCAGAAAACATGGTAGATATATTGTCTTTTTTATTAGATTTCACTGTGATCTATCTGATCAAATTAAAAAAGGGAGCGTTGAAGCCTGTTTAAGTTTAACATCTATATATAGAAACGTTTTATTGTGTCCTTTATTTTATCACCAATCCGTCCCTGCACATTCACTCATAACCGTGATCCGTTTGCTTTTAGCGTCTCATATTCATTCGCAAAGCGGGCTGAATTCTCGACGAAGAATTTAGTGATAATTAGTATCATCACTAAAAACACACCCAGCGACCGCTCCTCAACGCCTTCAGCCTCCGGGTTTCAGACGATCTTTGATGCGGCGGTGAAACTTTGGACCGGCGTGAGATCCGATTACGAGGGGTGGGGGGGTGGGATTAGCCGGAGAAGCGTCAATTAGCAGCCGGCTAATCTTCTGTGCCGAGGTTGACCGCGACGCGCCGGGCGCGAAGACTCACCCGTGTACGTCGGTGTGTAGCTACGAGACGACGGAGGTCTACCGAACCCACATGTTTACTCCACGTAACAGTGAACCAGGAAGTGTAAAGTCTGCAAAAGTCTTTAGTGTTTGAACCTAAACCTCCGTCTCTTTCTGGACGTTGTTTCCTTTGAAGATGAAGGTGCACTTTTAAGCGCGAGTGCAAACGGAGTCATTTCCCCCCCCCCGGCGGCGTCTATCTGGAGGCGCTGATTAGTATGCGCGGGCCGTGAGGCCGCTCCGACACCGAGGCCTCTGAGAGCGGCGGCGCCATGAATTCTTCAGCGTGAGCTCGCTTTGCTGAGAGCAAACGTACACACACACACACACACACACAACACGATCTTCATTTGGCGCGTACATCACGCCTGCCGCGCCGACGCCGACGTTAAACGAAGGTCCCCGCTGGCCCACGGTTAACCATCTTACCAGACTCGACACATTTCCTTGTCGAAGAGGAGCCAAATAGACACAAACACACACACAACAACGAAGAGAATCTGAGGGAATGTTGGACCTCTTCTTCTCCCCTCTCGCTGCCTCTGCCTGTGGAGAACACTGGCAGGAATCAGGGAGAAGAGTGGGGTTGCTAGGCGACAGGTTGTGGTTGCCATGGTGAATTTAAGTGGAACAGCTGGTCCAATCAGCATAAAGTGCGGGCGGGCGGGGGCAGCGCCAGAGACTCGTGCCAACGCAGACAGACAGGAAGAGAGAGGGGCTGCTCAGGCATGCAGGAGAGGAGGGGAGAGGAGGGAGGAAAGGAGGAAAGGAGACGACAGGAGAGGGTCGAGAGAGGAAAGGAAAGGAGAGGAGGGGAGGATTAAGTGGGCTAATGGGTGAAGGAGACTCGGAGGAGGACACATAGGGAAGGACGAGGGACAAGGAGAGGTCAGAAAGACGAGAAAAGGATAAACGAGAAAACAAAAGCCAAAGACGAGTAGAATCCGTCCTGATTGTCCCCACCGAAACAACGAGCATCAGATGTGTGTCCGTGGCTAAAGGGCTGACGGAGACGCAGCTAACGAGGAGGTGTTGATAACGAGGGGGGGGGGGGTCATCGGCTGTGTGTGTTGTTGAAGGTGATGAAGATGATGATGTCTGCTGCGTGTTTTCAGGTGCGATCGTAATCGTCGACAGATCAGGGGCAACAATTCAAATATTACTTTTATCCGAGGTGCAGCAGGTGGGGTCACAAGATGTTTGGTTGATAAGACAATTTTTTTTTTTCCCACAAATTTAAGTGTCTTCAGGATCAGAATTGTTTATTTTATTTAAATGCACACTAACATGAATCCAACATATTGCAGCAAAAACGGATAAATCTGTGGAGAGGACGTCATGTTTCAGTCAACACACGGCACCGGTTCACTCACGTGCCGATAGGACGTCACAGGCACCAGCCAATCAGATGCATTCATGCTCACGATGGCGGACCAAACTCCGTAGAGGGGGTCCCTGCTCCATCTCGCCATCAGTTTGGGGGACCTCGGCCTCAAAGACCCCTGACTTAAACAGCACCAGGAGTTGAACTACGTCAGGTTCTTCTAATCTGGTGAGGACCAGCCTCCGACCACCGAGCGGCCCCCTTAAAAAGGCGCGGCGTGCTCCCGCCGCTCGCCGCTAACGATGCTAACAGTGGAGACCATGGCAGAGGGAGGTAAATGGTTTCATGGGGGGGGGGGCGCGAGATGAACACAGGCTGCCACTGCCGTAACCGATCATGGCCGCCCGCCACTTATCGACGGCCAAAGGACGCAGGCGCCAGGAACTTTGCACATCCTCTCCCTGAGAAGACTCAAAGATGGCGGCTGAGAGCAGAAGCCGGCGGCTCCCAGTGAGAGCGACGGCGCTCAGAGGACGAGAACACGCGCGAGGGGCCCCCGGAAGGCTCCGGAGAGCTCGTGTCCGTTCGCACAAAGCTCTCGCTCTGTCACACCTTGTCACTCACAGAGAGCATGCTGGGAGGCAACGGTTTCCAGGGCGACCGAGAGGCACCTTTTTCCTTGACGACGGTTTAGAATGCGGAGGCGAGGAGGTGGCGGGGGGGGGGCGGGGGACATTAGCTCGCGCCTCAGGTGTGGTGACTTTGGCGCGGCCCGCAGCTCGCCCGCCACTGGAACAAAGCCGCCGTGACCACGTGGGCAGAGAGAAAGAAACACGAGCGTGGGGGGGGGATGACGGCGCGGCGTGCGCGCGGACGACAGGGAGGACGAAGACGAAGTGCGACCCAGCGAGGGAAACAAGCAATTGCTCCTCCGTGAACTTCCAGGTTCTTGCGCAGCTAGTTAGCGTCCCCGGAGCTCGCCGTGACGAGAGGACCCGCTGGGAGACGAAAGCGCTCTCAGGGTTTCTCCTCTCGAGCTGATGGTGTGAATTACAATTTCACACACACACACACACACACACTCCTTTAGAGGACCCTCACACACCGTCCTAAATATGCAATAGCTCACTGCTGAATCCCCCCGCAGGCTCCAAAATACATCTTCAAAAGTATCCCTCAATCTACTTAACACATTTCACACCCTCACGCACACGGACGCACGCAGACGCACACGGACGCACGCGGTCAGACGCTCAGACACGGAGCACACGGATCAATGGGGAGACTTTGTGATATCGTGTTACTTTTCGGCGAAGGCCGGAAACCCGTGAAGCGCACGACGCGACGGACACACGCAGGAGACGACACACATCTCGGGAGGAAGCGCACAAGCGGCGTCAGGGAGAAGGCAACGGGTGGGGGGGGGGGGGGGCCACACGCTCCACGGGGTGTGTGTGTGTGTGTGTGTGTGTGTGTGTGTGAGAAGGAGACCGACTGCATGGAGAATTGAGTGCGGTTAGTAGTGTTTCCCCCTCGGCTGAGGCATTAACAAGCCTATAATGGACCCTCTTAAAAAGCCGACTAGGATCTCCTCCAAAACTAACTGATTTAGAGTGGCCGGGGCCCCCGTGGGCAGCGGCCAAGTCCCCGTCCGTCCCTCCCCAGCACAGCCGCCGCCAGCCCAGACCCGCATTGTGTTTGTCTACTGAACCACAAGCAATAGCCGTTTATAGCACAATAAAACACCACGAGGAGGCATTAATTGGATATAATAGCCAGGGAATGATTCAGATGATTTGACACCTTTTTTTCATCTAAGATAAGTACACAAACAGAGAAAGGGTCGAGCGGAATAAAAAGGGAATTAGAAATGGAGGCGTCCGACTCTCGATTTCAAATATTAGCCGGATTCGGGTCCACACACACACACACGCGCGCACACACACACACACACACACACATAGCTGAATAGTCCAATGCATTTAAAGGCACCTGATTTAGATTTAATAAACCGTTGAATCAGTCCACCACACAAGATGCTGATAAGATACGACAGAAAAACACACACACGCACACACGCGTAACCTTTTTATCGCTCATCGATGTTTCAACGCCCGTGTTTTATTGACAGAATAATGCTCCGGGAAAATAACCGACTGCGAGCTCGCTAACCCCTCAAGATATTCCGTCTCCTTCTCTCCCCCCTGTCTCCTCCGCGCGGGCACGTACGTACATAATTGGCCCTTTACTGTCGTATCAAATTCACATCAGCACATGTCGGTTTGGGACGAACGAGGACGGAGGCCGGACGCGAAGCCTGATGAACTGCAGCGTGGGGCCGCTCAGTAAACCCAATCATCTTCTTGTGAGGAGGAGGGTTAAACAGATACTGCACCAACACGAGGACCTCATCACAAGAGAGGGACACCAAGTGTGACCCGTGACCACGGCGTGTGTGACCTCATTGACCTTACATCGTGGTTAGTTATTTGCACGTGAAATTAAGAAATGTTCGGGGGGGAAAAGAGGCCCAGTTTTCTTGTAAGTTTTACTTACTCTAAATAATTGAAGCGATGCATTTCCAAAATGGATCTTATATATTAGTGTATTGTGGACGTAAAGTAATTGATAGAAACCATCAGTGTGCGTTGAAAATGTCTTCTCTTGATTACAGTGATGAGGAGGAAGGCTCAAAGAAACATCTTCATCTCAAGGCGCCTGGAAGCATCTCCTGCAACACACAACAGAGATGAGGTCAGCATCTACACACCAAGCCCCCCCGACCCCGACCCCGACCCTCCATCTGAATTTCATTTACAATATCTGTCATCTTAAAGCCTGAACACACACACACAGATTTTTGTATTAAATTATGTCAAATGTTGGTCACATTTCCATAACGCCCGTCAGTGGCGTTGCCCCAGACTTGAATCCAGCTGTATGCAAAACCTGATGCTCCGACGCCCCAAACCTCTCGACTGGGGCCTCACCAATCTGCAGAAAAAGAAGTTGGGGGGATGGGAGAGGTCAGCGGGGTGAGGCTGTTTCATGAGCACAATCCATTTCGTTAAATATATGTACCTACATATAACTGTTACACCAAATCACAAAGTAAATGTCGGCCAGAGAGAGAGAATATTTTCAAAATAAAATAGAGGAAATTAATTTTATGAATGCATGCAAAAATCCAAGAATTATACTTTTTTTTTTACCGTGTAGTTTTTTTGTGTTTTAATTTCCAATATTATGGAGGACGAAATGTCCCGCCGGCTCCGTTTTTCTGAGGTGCAGGTTAATTGTTGTGTAAACGGACGGCGTGGAGGAGAATGTGACACCGTTTAGTCACAGCGTGCGGATGGGAAAGGTTTTTTTTTTCCTTGGACTGAATTGTCGCAGGTTTGAATGCTGCGTCTGCGCCAGGGAGCGTAAAAAAAATAAAATAAAAGCAGGGCTTCACGTGCGCTTATAAAACAGCATCAGCTGAGCATGAATGAGCATCAGGAAGAGCGGCGCTTTGAGCAGAGGTCAAACACGCGCCTTTTGTTTTCACGGCAACGGCTGACATGCAGGATTTGTGTAAAAGTCACCGTAGCAACGGAGTCGCCTCTCTTCTCCGTCGTAGTGGAATACAAAAAAAAAAAATGTATTTCTTCTGTAACCTTGTTGGAATTTGACTGTGGAGAAGAAGACGAGGCTTATTCACTGCGTCCTTGTCAAGAGTCCACTTCCTCTGCAGCCTCCTGACTCCTCAGACAACGTGCACACCGATGCACAGTCAGACAGCTGCTCGGGGTCAGTTCTGCACCGCGTGCAAATCCATCCGTGCCGCTGGCTCTAAACAGGCCTCCCATCTAAATCCATTCCATTCATTCTAGGAGATATATATCTATATATATAGATGTATATCGATTAAAGGCTTAATGGACGCACACGTGCATATTCAAATGAAATGTGTGCACGAACAACGACTTCCACAGAGACTGGAGGAGCAGGAGAAACCAGACGTGTCACAAGCAGATCAATGCAAACAGCTCGTGACATTTATCAGAGTGGAGGAGCTCAGCTCGCCGGTCAAGTGGCTCCGCGTTATTGATACGAGTCGTCGAAGCCAAATGCAGGGGCCACGCGCCGATAAAAATAAAGATGATTTAATGAACCAAAATGAGAAATTGAGCCGTGTGTACAAAATGATTTGGGGGAATAATGCTTTTGTTTTTTACAGTGTGTGTGTGTGTGTCATGCGTGTAGAGACACACCAGTGACAGTCTGCCTCTTGACACGCTGGCCCGCTTTGCTCGCTGCGATATGATGACAAGTGACATTCAGGATTTCGCTTCTTTGGGATTCTTCCTCTGCAGCTCTGACTCGCCGCCTTTGCTCTTTTGCATTTGGTCTCCTTTTGTGCGGATATGTTTGTATGAATATTTATTTGTGTGTTTGTGTGTGTGTGTGTGTGTAAAATAATTCATCTTTTATTGCTTGTTAGTAGCTGGGATGAGAACGAAACTAAATTAAATTAAATTACTGGAAAACACTGGAATAAAAAAAAGGATCAGTGGATTAAAACTAATTTTAAACAATAGATATAAAAATAAAAATAAAAGTCATCCTACCCGTGACTTTGTGGAGAAGTGTTAGCTGCGCCTTAACTTTATTATTTATCATCCTATTTTCTAACGTGACCGTGGGAACCCAGGAACAATTTTAGTTATAGAAGAATATATATAAATTAAGATTATTATTAAGAACAGGTAGCATGCGCGGGGGAAATATCAATGTTTTATTCCCATGAAACTCACCTGTAAACACGTGGACCAATTTATCTTTACTGGGGACCAAGTGGGACGAATCCTGGGAGCAGGTGAAACACATCCAGAGTAAAGAAAGTTTTCCTCCCAGCTCTCTGTTTCCTGTGTGTGTGTGTGTGTGTGTGTGTGTGTACAGCCAACGTGCACGGTTGCATATGGGCTGCTGTTGGTTATATCTTGCCATATATTACCATTTCTCCTTGGAGGGGCCCCTTGCATTCAAATCAGCGGCCGGCTGCCTGATCGTAGAGGACAGCTTACTAGGCCCCTTGAATTGTTCGCCAGGAACAATGGATTCCTTTGTCAACGTGTTTCTCTTTCTCTCCCAGGACAATACTGGAGGGTCCTTCTGGCTCTCTGCACTTAAGAAATGTTTGCAAAATTACACCTCTTTATATGCCTCTCAAAACAAGCAGCAGAGCCAGTATAAAAGTGTGGGAGGTTTAGGGAGAAGAAGAAGAAGAAGAAACAAACAAAAATAAAATTGTTTTATTCCCTCTTCGATAAACTTCTGTCGTTGTTTTAAGGAGAAATTTCCTGCAATTAAGAAAATCTTATCAACAACTTAGTTTGTTTTTTCATTCATTTATCTCGAGCCAGCTGAGAGGAACCGGTTTTAAAAAAAAAAGAAGCAGAAATTACAGCAATTCTCCAGCACAAAATTTAAAAAAAAGTGCCACTTACAATAACAGACTAGAATTTAACAAACGTCAGAACGACAGAACGCGATCGTCCAAAATGTTGCATAAATCCCAGAGAAGGGGTCTGATCACGTGACGGAGGGGATGCGTCGGGACGGGGCTGGAGGGGCTTCCCGTTATAAACTGAGCTGTGCATCTGCATAACGAGCTTATAGCGCTGACCCCCCCCCACCCCCCATGAATGGGCCCAGGAGCAGATGCCCAGCTGTGCTTATTCGGGCCTTCAACCGCATTTCGGAAATCGGTATAATTTCCCTGGGAAAGTTGGATCTCCACCCCGGGACAATTTCTGCAACAATGTCCACCATTTACTGTTATTATTGGTATAATAATAATACGTATTATTATCTCTTACGTGGACTGTGCGATAATGTGATCAATTATTTCAACAAATTTCAAGGGAATTCGCCTGTTCGTAACAGGTGAAGTACGTTTTTTTTTGGGGGGGGGGGGGGGGGGCACATATATTTCCAATGTCTTAAGTCATATTTGTGTTGATTTTATTTTATTTAGACGTGCCTTTAAAGACCGAACGACAGTTTCGGTGGACAAAGGAGCGCGCTCACCCGGGATGTGCTCGTTGTTTCTCCAGATGCGCCATATTTCCACCGCGCCAACGGGGCGCCACGTCGGGCGTTTTCTGAAAAATGAAAGACTCGCTTCTTTTTCCCGACACATTAAAAGATGAGGACTCGGCCTTTACCAACACAAATATTCATTTTTGAAAGACGCTTTCAAACGTTAAACTCGTCTTTAAATGTAATTAAAATGCCCCAGGACCCCCCCCCCTCCCCCCCCCCGCCCCCCTTTAGCGTACCTCAAAAAGTCCAGGGGGCGCAACTCGCACAACTGGGCCGACTCTCCTCTCTTTTGTTGGGGCTTTTGTGGCGGGCTGCGTGATGGGATGGGAGGGGGGGTGGGGGGGGTGTAACGAGGGGGTTGCGACCCCCCGATGGGGGTGCATTTGCTGTCCAAAGACCGTTAGACAGTGGCAGAATTCAATGGGGGCCCGAATGTCATTGTAATGCACGGGGACAACTCCCCCTCCATTCAGCCGGGGACGCGGAGGCCGCGCTCTGCTCGGCGCAGGGAGAGACGCGCGGGGGAGAAGAAGAAGAGGAGGAAGAAGAAGGAGAAGAAGAAGAAGGAGAAGGAGAAGCCAACCGCAATGTAGCTCTCTGTCTCTCTCTCTCTCCGTCGGAAACGAAACGCGTTGCAGGAGGTGTTTTCTCTGCAGGTGGAGGCCTGCTGCTGCTGGACGATCCGCGGGTGGAGACGCAACAAAGGAGCGCGTGGATGTATCGGCACGGGCTGCATTTGGACTCCAGGACGCTTTCTCGTGCACGCGGGGTTACTACACGTTTTCCTCCTCGCTTTTCGTTGCATTTCTTTTTTTTGGGGAGGGGGGGGGGGGGGGCAAAGGGCGAACTAATCAGACTGGTTCGGGCCCCGAGAAATGACTCGCATTAGTCCGACTTGCACTCATGTAAATGCGGCGGAAGCTCGTTTTGAGGTGCGGATCGCGACGGAGGCTCAAAGGGGAGAGAGAGATAATAGACGCGCGCGTGGAAATAGTTTCATAATTACATTTGTTTGAAGAAACAAACGCGAGCATTTGTGATTCTATAGGCTCAGTTATCGGGGGTGTGAAGAGCAGCGCTTTCGCGGTCCCTCATCTCCATCTCTTTGTTCAGCCAACAGTGGGAGGTGGACGCGCGCTGTACGGGCGGGCGGGCGGGCGGGAGGGAGGGAGGGAGGAAGGGGAGAGCGGGGAGAGGGGGACATTTGAGCGGGGGGAAAAAATCCAGTGAGATTTTCTCCCGGGACAGAAATCCATTCCTGCAGGATTGTTAATAGAACATGCGTTTAAACACGTGACTGCGTTCTTCTGCTCTGGAAATCACCAAAGACCGGTTGAACTATCAGGCCCACATCCGGGTAAACTTTTAAAAACATTTTTGAAATAAACATAAAGAACTAAGAGGCCGGGTCCGTTAAATTACGCTTTGAAAAGTGACTATTTAAAAATAATGATGACCATTTAAAATTGAGACATTTGAATCTTGACAGGAAAGAAAACACAACATCTGCCTCTGAATGAGAACCGCTGGAATGTGTTGCTACATATTTAAGATATAGGTCAACATCGGCCCCGCTGTATCTATAGTAACGAATCCAACCAGTGAGACAAGGTGCTGCAGAACATTATAGAGCTTAACTTAAAAACGGAAAAATGCACCATTTGGATGATGCGTCTCTCACTTTGTCGTTTATGCTAAATATGCAGCGACCTGTTTATAGCCCCGGGGCCCAGAAGGACCGTCACAACGGGTCCGGGTTCGGTTCCGTGTGGGTGTCGCAGTGAAGGGGTTAATACGCCTTTTATGAGCCAATAACAGCTTTCATTTGTTAAAGAGACTCCGTCCATCACACCGTGACCAAAAAATGATGTGCGGGTGTTTTTTTTTGGACGAGATCACAAAGTGTTGAGCTCGTTTTTAGCCACCAGCCTGCAGCTTTTGTGCAGCAGCATTCGGGCCCTGGTCGTGCACCTGCTTTGAGGATAAACCGCTTCGAGGTGTCGGAATTCAGGTGCACGGAGGACATTGTCATGTCATTCTGCCTTCATTTGCGCGCGACGTTGCGTCAAATGCTCGTGTGTGTGCGCGCGCGTGTATGTGTCTGTGCGTGCGTACACCTAAAAACAGCATTCTGGCCTCTGTGCATGCATGACGCGCTGCAGAAAGTCAGGCCCGGTGGTTTCAAGGACATTTGGGGCTGATGAGGATTTGGTTTTAATGTAGAGAGAGAGGGGGAGGGGGGGGGGCTTGGCATGACGTCATCGCGCGACCATGTAATCCTCTTGCGCCGAAGCCCAATCAGCAGAGACTCGCGATTGTCTAGGTTGGGAAGAGAGAGGCGCTCTAATCCGGGAGACAGTGGATCACACAGCCCGAGAGAGAGAGAGAGAGAGAGAGAGGGAGAGAGAGAGAGGGGGAGGGAGGGGGGACGCATCCAGGGCTGGATTGTGCCTGAAATGGGTCAGATTAAAACGACACGAACCGGCTGACTCTTGCTGGAGATGGGGACCTTTCTGAAGAGCGAGAAGCCCTTTTTTTTTCTTCCTCTTCCCGACTAAACGACTTGTGGCGACACGCGAAAGAGACTCTTCTTCTTCTTCTCCCTCTTTTCTCCTCGCGAGAAGAAGAACCCGAGAACACCTTTTTCTCTCCTGCTCTGCGGCGGCCGTGAGTCCGCGGGGGAGGCAGCGCGCGCGCCTTGTGCTCCGAGGGCGTTGATCGTGGAGCTGCGCTCGAGTTTAATGGAAGATACGACGATGCTCTCCGCAGTGGGATGTAAGACCTCAGGAGAAATAGTGCTGCTTTCTTCTGTTTCCGCTGTGTAAGTGCGTGCGTTTAGAGGTGGGGGGGCGGGGGGGGGGCTGATGTTGTAAATCGAGCGGACAAAAGCGAGAGCACTTGTGTAGCTTCAGCTGTCATTTTGTGCCAGGAGATGCGTAAAAGACGCACAGCCGGGGGGTGAGGGGGGGGAGGGGGGGGTCGGGGTATCTAGAGCCGAGCCGTGGCGCAGTGATTCAATATCTATTTGCTTAGAATTTGGAATCCAAAAGAGGCGCAGGGAAAGCGCGCGGGTTTTTGCTGGCGTGAGCTATAAATCGGCTTTAGATTTGAGTGTCCTACATGCGCTTACGCACGGGTGTGTGTGTGTGTGTGTGTGTCATGCGGTCTCGTGCGGGGGGGAGGAAGGGGGGAGTGGGGTGGGGGGGGGGGGAGTGTGGAGCTCGCGGAAGTTCATTCCGCGCACGTCGGCGGGGCGCGAGGACGCGACTTCCTCCCGGGTTGTCCCTCTGCGTGTTCACAGCGGACCTTGATTTAATGTCCATACAATTAAGGCACGCGGTGAATGCCAAGAGAGGAACCCACACCACGGCCTCCCCGCGCGCGTCCACGTGTCCTCGTCCCGTCGTGCCCCCGAGTGCGTGGCTTCCTCGCCGTTACGCGCGCTGACCCTCCGGCGGGGCGGACGCGCGGCCCGGCAGCGGGACGCAGCGGTGCACTGTCACGCCGCCGCGAGAGAGAGAGAGAGGGGGTGCACCTGCACCCAAGTGTATATGCATCAGCGCGCGTGCGTGCGCGTGTGTGTGCGTGCACGTTGCTTTGACTGGGTGGGCGCAATGCGTAGTTCGATACGAGGTTACGGCAGGAAAAACGAGGCGAACTCTTAACGCCGGGAATATTCGTGTAATAAATGAATAATAACGTAAAACCCCCTCGAAGCAGAATGCAACGCACCTTTAATTCAAATAATTGGCCTTTCGCCAAGTGGGGGTCAACGGCCTGAAGCTGTCAGCTGGGGATCGTTTGCGTTCACGGTAGTCTTAACTACATTTGTATTAAGGTATTTATTCATTTTGTAAATGAAGCGTCTGGCTGAGAGCGTCTAAATAAAGCTACGTCATTTGAATGTCTTCGGAGTAAATCGTTCGTATTGTGAGACACACGCTAAATGTATTTAAATGTGGGCGAGGTTACCTTATTTCGACATGTAAATAATAACCGATATTTATTTATAATTGAAATTTAGAAACGCGGCTGGTGGCTCTGACGGCGTGGGCCGTGTCCGGTGATGGGAACATCCGCCTCCGGCCGTGTTTTCTCTCCGTCACCGTCTCTTGGTGACGGTGTGAGATATTGTACCTCGCAGCACCGGAGCCCAGTGGCGCTCGGCTGGGCTGCGTCGTTCCGTGAAACACAAAGTAGGCCGGATCGGCGCTCACAGTCCGCACACCGACGACGTCTGCGGCGATTTAGTTCGACGTAGTCAACGCGCGGGGATCCAAACCGGATTTGGCGCCACCTGCAGGCGTCTCCGTGGCAACGCAGGTCCGGAGGCGGGTCGGTGAAGGCCGAGGGTCTCCACGCGGTGATGAAACCCACCCAAAGCTTTTGGTCTTCACTCAAGTAGGAAAGAGCGTCAGATAAACTATAAATAGGAGAAGATAGAACAGTTTAATCCTTCCGACTTTCATGGAACCTTTTCATTCGTCGTCGTATCTGATCCGATACATTAAGCTACATTTGGTCCCTAAAATAAAAGAACATTTGAAAAACTAAATACAAATAATGTAAATATGTAAAATGCCTGAGGTCACGTGGTCCAATCCAAACATCTAAACGTTTACTGGCTTCGCTACAGCAGGAAGCAGGAAGGGAACGTGGTTGTGTTCTTTTGTCTGTTTGAAAAATGTTTTGTGACGTTGACAACAAATAAAAGTCTGAGCTGCACAGTTTTCTGCTTGTGGTTTTCTTGTGGTTGTTTTAAGCGTAGCTCATTCCGACACGCTCACATTCACTGCGCCCAACGGGACGCGTCGGACAAACTGTAGAGTGTAGATGTCGTCCGATTATTTAGAGAAAAGGAAGAACTCTTTTTGAAGTGTTCTCGCATGAGACCACTTCACTTCCCTCCAGCAGCACCACGGAGAGCTCCTGGGAAGCAACACAAAGAACACGTGGAAGGAATGATTTTTGTAGTGCGTGAAGCAGAAAGCATTTGGTGATCATGAAAAGAATGTACATGGACTTAAACCATTTTAAAAAACTGATAAAACGCCTATTTTTCACTCCATTTTCTGTTCCAACACACTAAATACCGTAGACTTCCATCCCAGGTCTCAGCGCTCCATCATGTCCTCAGTTGGACCTGTGGAGACACATCTCTGCTTTGATAACGGCACTTATGACACGGTGAAGCCAACTGTAGAAACACCATGAACAACCACAACAGGAAGAAACCCGTCCAGCTGCAGAACCTTCGGACATCCAAGCGTCCACAGAGCTCCCTGTCTTCGTTTCAGGTCACTGCAGGTGAGCGTTTCCACGCCAACAGATCGGCGGACGGTTGGCTGGATTTCTTCCCACGAAGGAAAACCAGGACGCGTCATTAGAACAAGCCCCGCCCCCCAGAAGAGAACTAACGCCTTCTTATTATCACACGTCATTCATCAGTCTGTGGTGGTGAGACGAAGTTATGGTCACACATACACCAGGGAAAGGGGGGGGGGGATTAGTGCAGTCGCAAATGAAAAGGATGGAGAGGAATCCTGTCAGGTACACACACACACACACACACACACACACGTCAAATATTCCAACAGAAAAATTGCAGCATCAATATTTGTGAATATTTCTCCCCACGTTACCGTGACGCTATGTCAGGTTTTTTTTTTGTACACAAACACCAGGGGGAGGGGGGGAGACTAGACATCCCCTCTCCCCCCTCACACACCAGCAGCATCACTCGACAACTCACAAACCAACTCGTGACTTATTGTTAAATAGTTTCCGTCGAGAAGAAACATTTTTTTTTTTAAGCAACCAAAAAACACACAGAAACCACATTTCATTCTTAATCTTTTTTTCTTACTTGATAGTAAATCAGTTACATTAATTTTTAGGTTATACATATTTTTAGGCTTTCTCCATGAATATATAGGCTCCTACGTTAAAGCTCAACATTACGACCAACATGATAGACCTTGCAAAAAAATATTTGAGGGGGGAAAAACAAAAACAAAGACAGGATTAAGACAGGATGACGGTGAATGGACAAAAAACATGTGACACCCCCCCATTCTGTGGACCTAAAGAAAAGTAATTAATTCAATCTAGCAGTTACATTACATAATTCTGATTAAAAACAACTTAAAAGGGTGGATGAAAGAAGTGTCTCACTGGGTTGCGAACACAGAGTCTCCCCATGAAACATACAAAAGACCCCACGAAGACAAAGAAAGCCGGGGGGAGGGGGGCGAGGTGAGGGACGACAATAGTACAATTTTTTGACTTAAAACGGTGAGAGTTCTGGTTGTGGAGGACACATCCATTTATTTATTTTTTCCCAGAGGCCTTTGCGACTCCTCCTCGGAAATGTCTCGAGTCCCGTGTGACTTCACACTATCCCTGATTTCTCCTGCAGTGTCACTGTTTGAGCAGTTCTTTTGAGAAGTCACCAAAAAATAGAAAAACAAAACCAAAAAAAAAAACATTAAGGCTCCAGAAAACAGGTTTCTGAAATGAAAATTGTCAGTAGTAAGCCAAAAAATAGAGATTTTTGTCGATCTGAATGAAAAATAGATAAAACATTAAGTTGTATTAACGTTGCCGCGGGGATCCTCCGACCCGGTTGGCACAGTCAAACCGCCGAAGCGTGGCGAGGTCGCCCCCTGGCGGTCACACCGGGGCAGGACACGTCCGTTCCTGATTGTACTGAAATATAAAGTGGCAGATTTGTGTTCTTTTTGTTTTTATTCCTCCGCGTTGCAGTTCAACCCTGATTCAATTGGAAGGAGGTGGGGTGGCAGTGGGGGGGTCAGCTGAGCTAAAACCGTCTGGTGAGAAAAGATGGAACGGGACGAAAAACATTCTTCAAAAAAGAAAAAGACGACAATTAAAGAGTGTGTTGGCGAAACATTAATCAACTTGTTATCCCTGCACGTGAGGTGGGAGGTACATGGGGCAAAAAAACAATAATTAAAAGCAAACAAGTCTCGACAATGGCAGATTGACCAGGATTAAATAGGGAAAAAAATGACGGACTTTGCATTTTCATATTCTTCTGTCTCTTAAATCAAAGGTCCTAGTCTGTAACTGTTGATCAAGGATAATGTCTTCTATTGTTTACTCCTGTTTTGGCGCTCCTGTTGGGGGGGAAAAGAACACACAAAAACAACATTAAAAAGAGTGACAGACCTTTAAATATTATATTACATAACAACGTTGACGTTTTCATTCACGTTCAAGCAGCGATCGAATATCAGAAAATGTCGTCTTCACTGGATGGGAACACATGAGGATCAATGATCAGTCCATCATCAGTATGAAGCGCTCAATAGTAGAGGAGGAATAAGATGAGAGCTTATGTCTCAGTCCCACCAACACACTAATTATTATTACCATTATTTGCATAAAATGAATCTTTACCTGATCCAACCGAGAGCGGTTGGGTATCGGAGAAGGTTCAAAGGTCTGTCGAAAGGAGCAAAGAAGAGCAAACAGAGACAAAAACAACAATCAGCTTCTGAGACACAAACAAAAAGAAACATAAGAACAGGTGTAATGGTGCAGTCTGTGTATTTTTGGTATAGTTTAGGCAACACAGTGAGTACTGTCCCCACCTTGAGCACCTCCTCTTCCTCCTCCTGCCTCTTCTCGTAATGGGAGAAGTCATCGAAGATGGAGGTGGTGTGTTTGTAGGTGGCGATGATCTTCAGCACCTGCTTGGCTTTCTCCAGAGGAACCTCCTGGGTGTCGCGGGAGTTGGTCACCGGCTTGTTGTCGTTGTTCTCCAGGCGGATGTGGCGCAGCTGGCTGTTGGGCACGTCTTTGACGAACAGCCAGTCCACGTCGAACTTTCCCTTCCACTTGTCCTGCGCCCAGACGCCGGCGCTGGTCCCGTAGTCCACCGGCGAGCGCATCTCCGCCACGCCGCAGAAGTGCCCGCTGCCGTTGACGCTGAAGAGGAGGTACACGGGGCCCTTGGCGCTCATGGCCCGGAAGGCCGAGTCCAGCCGCTTGTTGCCGTGCTCCGTGCTGCACCAGATGGAGTACTTGATGGAGCGGTGGATGTCGTCCTCGGAGTAGCTCTTGATGATGAAAACTCGTCCGTTCTTCAGGTTCCACTCAAAGTCCTTGGGGTTGTAGGCGTGGGCGGCCCGCAGCTTGTCCAGCACCGGGTGGGACTCCCCGCCGGGGCCCTGGCCCGCGCACGGTGGAGGGCCGCAGTTGCCGCTGCCCATCATGCCCATCACGCCTCCGCCGCCGTCGTGGCCGGGGCCCCCTTGCCCGTAGCCCCCCTGCCCGTAGCCCTGGTTGCGATTACGAGGGGCCACCCAGCGGGTCTGGGGTTGCGGGGGCTGGTTGTGGTTTTGGTAGGGCTGAGGCGGTGGCTGATGGTGCTGGTGTTGGTGATGGTGGGTCTGTAAGGCCATGGGCTGCATCTGGGGCTGCACCATGGACTGGGAAGGTGGGGGGTGCATGGGTCCCTGCTGCATGTGGCCTTGGGGGGGCATGCCATGGGGAGGAAGGCCCATAGGCTGTTGGTGCTGCATTGGAGCTGTGGCTACTTTCGTCACGGGGCCTTTGTCCCAGGTGCCGATGTTCATGTTGTGTTTGATGGGAGGTGGGGGAAGAGCCCCCCCCAGGTTGGACATCCCGGGCTTCAGCTTGGCCTTCAGCTGCTGCGGCTTGGCGGGCTTGCTGGCGATGGCCGCCCAGGAGGTGGGTTTGGGCGGCGGCATTCCGATGGGCGTGGCTCCGTTCCCCGTGGCCGCCACCACCGGCCCCCCGATCACGGATCCCACGGCCTTGACCCCCGAGCACTGGCCGCCGACGTCCCCCCCGATCTTCAAGCCCACCATGCCCTGCTCCAGGCTGTTCATGCCGGGGGCTTTGTTGAGGGTGTCGCTGTGAAAGCCCGTCTGACCATCAGGCACCAGGGTGCCCCCCAGGGAGCTGGGGGGGTAGCTGTAGCTGCCGCCGTAGGCCGAACTTTGAGTCTGCTGCCCCTGGGAGCCGCTCGTGCCCCAGGCAGAGAAGGTGGGGTTTTCGGGGAAAAAGTTAAACCGGTGGGGGTAGATGCTGGACCCCAGGCCCCCCGGCTGCCCGAACACCGTGTCCGGCATGAAGTGATGGTCTCCGTTACTCAAGGGTCCGTAGGGGGTTAGGTAGGGAATAGGGGGGTCCCCGCCGGTGGACCAGGGGGCCTCGCTGAGGGGATACGGAAATCCAATGGAGGGGGCATAGTAGCTGGACAGGTAGGGGTCGGTGATGGACTGGTAGCTGTTGTTCTGGTGAATGAAGGTCAGCAGAGTGACAGATTGATTCAATCTATGTGATTCAAATAAAACTACTACCACAACTATTCTATACACAAGAAACAACTGAAAAACATATTTCACTAAGTGACTTAACTCCATGCCGTCCTACAATTTAGTGGAAACTAATAAAGACGACTCACAATCATGTTTCACATTTGTGTTGTAATAACCACGTTTTAAATGTTTGTTTTAAACATAGCAGTAGTTTTGTAATGATTAACAGATCATTAGTTTGATGATCTCAGAAACATAAAACTTTTATCTGATTATTTTTAACAACGGTCTTAAAATGTAGTAGTGGCTGCGTGGGATTGTTTCCACTCATGTGATGCAAACATTTCAAGTCCGGAGCTTGAAGTCAGAAAGTCAAAATAAACAAATATACTCATAAATATACTCATCCTTCTGGACCTTTCTGCAGCATTTGACACAGTAAACCACCAGATCCTTATCTCCTCCCTTCAGGAACTCGGTGTCTCAGGCTCTGCTCTCTCCCTTCTCTGTACCTACCGGGGTAACCTGGGAGAGGATCTGTGTCTGAACCTTGTCCTTTTACTTCTGGAGTTCCTCAGGGTTCAGTCCTGGGTCCCCTCCTCTTCTCGCTCTACACCAACTCGCATGGCTTCCCCTACCACAGCTATGCCGATGACACCCAACTAATTCTCTCCTTCCCTCACTCGGACACCCGGGTGGCGGCACAGATCTCTGCCTGTCTGACTGACATCTCTCAGTGGATGTCCGCCCACCATCTGAAAATCAACCCCGACAAGACTGAACTACTTCTCTTGTCGGGGAAAGATTCTCCTACACAGGATCTGACTGTGAACTTTGGGAACTCTGTTCCGTGTTAACGCCCACTTTGACTGCTATGAACCTCGGCGTGACACTCGACAGCCAACTCTCCCTGACTCTCAACATCACTGCGACAACACAATCCTGTAGATACACTCTCTACAACATCAGGAGAATACGTCCTCTTCTCACTCAGAAGGCAGCGCAGGTACTGATTCAGGCTCTTGTCATCTCCCACCTGGACTACTGTAACTCTCTCCTGCAGGTCTCCCTGCTACCGCCATTCCACCTCTGCAGCTCATCCAGAATGCAGCAGCTCCACTGGTCTTTAACCTTTCTAAATTCTCCCACACTAGTTCACTCCTCCGCTCTCTTCACTGGTACCGGTGGCTCATCCAGTTCTAAACACTGGTGTTCACGTACCATGCTGTGAATGGATCGGGTCCAGCTTACATCCAGGACCTGGTCAAATCCGACATCCCGACCCGCACTCTCCTCTGTGCATCTGATAAACTGCTTGTTCCTCCTCACTGAGAGCAAAACACTCGACTAGCTCACCACTCTTTGCTGTCCTGCTCCTAAATGGTGGAACAAGCTCTCTAATGACATCAGGACCACAGAGAGCCTTCACATCTTCAGACTAAAGACACACCTCTTCAGACTCTACCTTGACTAAAAAGACTAAAGGCGGACATATTTGTCCCGTATTTGCCTCCACATCTTTGTACACCCCTCTACCGGCAAACCGATGTCTGTGGCGATCTCCCTCCTTAAATCGGAGGCCATCCGCGCAGCCTCATAGTCCACCAACGACGGCTTGTAGAAGTGGTCATATTTCCGCATTTCTTCCAACAAAAGCTCTTTAATCTGATTCATTCTCTCTTCAAAAATCTTCCTTTTAAAAATAGCGGTATTATGCTATGAAACCAGAAATGTGAAACGCTATTTTAGAAAAATGGGTCGCCGCACGCAGGAAGGGGTGAAAAGGCACGCGAGCGACACGCAAGGGGCTCTTGTGTGTCCCTGCTTTTTTCTGCAAACATGTGATGATGATTACTTGTGATGTAATGCAATGACCTGAGCCGTACCTGCGTGGATTGACCGGTGAGGTAAGGCTCAAAGTCGTTGTCATGGACCGCCTCCTTTTGATGCAGCGAACCATTTTGCACTGTAAGAAAACAAAGAGTTTATTAACGTACATTTAAATACAAGTTGATTTAGTTGAGGAAACATCCCCCCCAAAAAATGCATGTTTAAATTTGCTCAGCTCCAATACAGCACACTAAACACTTGAACTCCTGAAAAAGAATTAACGGTATCGTCTCTCACATCATATAATCGATTCAGGAATTATAATATGTCTGTCCACCTCGTGCGTGCATGTGTTCCTCCCCAAAACCCTTTTTCTTAAATCCCTGAGCCGTGTGCAGCTGAGCCTATCCTGGAGGTGAATCGGCCCGGGCCTGCCAGCTAGGCCTGCCGGTCACACACCTCCTCCTGCAGTAAATCAAAGTTGACTAGAATATCATTAAAAACGAAAATGCCATTACAAGGCCGTACCAACACCGTCGGCACCGCCGACGCGAAGGAGGAACGGAGAGCAATGAATGCTGCAGACGGGGTTAGTGGAGGCAAACATTCTGCTGATTTATGTCAACGTTTTCCAGCACCACATCTCTCGGGATTTAAGGTGACAAAAAGGAGCAGAAGGACTAATTAATGTGCGAAAAATACCTCCAACAGGGAGTGAGTGCATTTAGGAATATGATTTCAATATTCTCAGAATGAGGACGGGTGGATAATGCTGGGAATTGAATTTCTCCCTTCTCCCAAGCAGACTACAATCTAATTTTCGGGACTCAAGACACTATCAAGTGTCTAGTGTGTGTAATACTCGACAAAAAAACAACAACAACTATGTGATACTATGCAACTTCCAACCACATAAAAACTGCTTCAAAGACGGCATGACCGCGGTGCAGGTTGAACCTGCTATGCATTGTGGACACATGGCTACTTTCAGCAAACAAAGGAAAAATCACACACGGGCCGGCTGCCTGTTCAATGACACGGTGGACGTTGTACTCTGTGTGTCCTACAGTACATAACAGGTCCCAGTCATTATTGATATGTCATACTAACCATGACAGTCAAAGTAACGTGACATCTGACCTCCACACTGTGGCTCCTTCCTGCTTACGTGCACATGTATGTCCGTCTATCATAAAATGCACAACTGGAAAGTGCCAATGTTTTGTTCTGCTTGTCCCGGTGTTGCATGATGACCGTAAATGATGCTTGAATCCCTGAGTGTTTGTATTATGCTCCTAATACACTGTGTAGCCGGATAGTAGTGTGTATGATGAGAGTGTGTCCAGGATGAACAGGTACACACAAAACCAATCCAGTGCTTTGCGAGGCCACAACTCACCTTTAGATGCTTGTCCCTTTGATCTCTGCATCCACGTTGTGGCATGAAAAGGGAGAATGGACACGGTTATTTTATAGCTGATTTTGGGGGAGATTTCACACAGATTGATTGCAGCTTTTTATTGCTATCAACGTAACGCTTGGAGCACTACGACTACTTCCTGGACAGACGCAATGCAACACGGTTACCTAACGTGACTCTACGCAGAAAAGCGCTGTATGAATCCAGCTGGCTGTAATCGTTAAGCGTCATTTATTTGGTGTGTAACTTGAGCTAACGTAACCTAGCATGCTAACGTGACAAGCCCTCATAAACTGGCTGTATGAACGCAAATAGCGTAAAACAGCGGCTTGTAACTTCGTTTGAATGAGTAGCCCTGCTACGTTTAAAGCCCCGCTTGAGACGATGCGGGTGTTTGCAGCACCTTCAACGTAACGTTAAGCCGACACTTGAGATGAGTAAGTTAGCTTGAACCTCAGTGATACTTATTGTATCGTTAGCTTTCACGTACTCCGCCATAGGGTGGCTAGCGGAGGCTAACGTTGCGTAATATCAGTTAAATGATGCTTATACACCGTCAGCATGCTAACGTATAACTGAAGCGTCATTCCCATTAAACGTCCGTTAAAAACATGCAACCGCCGGCCGGAATGTAGCCGTGCTAGCTAGCTACGTGCACCCGGTTAACGTCGGTGGCTAGCTAGCACCTCCGAGAAATAGCCGTAGCCCAATAAGAAGAAAATCGTTAACCGTTAGCGGGCTTGAGCTAACGTTAGCTCGCAAAGCTGTGTTACGGGCGAGGTACAAATCCTACCTGAGGGTCAATGCTTGTGGCAGACATAATTCATTAAGCAGGTCCTTGGATTCTCTCACAAGAGCCTGAGCTTGTGACTGGATTTTTTTCCAAGGCCCCGTGATTTGAGAGAGAGAAAAAAAGAAAAGAAGTGGGGAAAAAAAAAGCCAGTTCACACAGCTCAGTTACTGCTAGCTTATGTCGGCTAGCCGCGCCGCTCAGCGTGTGTTGGGGGGAGGGTGTGTGTGTGTGTGTGTGTGTGAGTGTGAGTGTGTGTGTGTGTGTGAGTGTGTGAGTGAGTGGTGGGGGGTGCTAGCGGTTGTAAGCGGGCTCAGCTGAGTGTGTTATTTTCCGCCGTGTTGCACCGTAACTTCCACACTTCAGGAGTCTGGAGCTCCGAAAGACGACCGAAGAAGAAGAGGAAGAAAATCCTGGTTTTCCACGTCACGTGTCGCCGGTTGAACCCGTTTTTCCTTCCGGAGCTCTGGATGTTTCCGGACCTCGGTTTTTGCCTTGTTACTGTTTCTGTATTATTCCAGCGAGAGGGAGAGAGACGGCCCTGCTCGGTCACGTTGTAGCACCGCACTTCCCCAATGGCCGCCCTCATCCGGGCTCCCAGCCGCCGCCGCAGTGCACGGCGATCCCCGCGGGGGGGCTGAAGTTTGGAGCGCCCTTCTCTTTGGGGTTTAACGCGCTAATAATAGATTCGGGTCCGTTTCATCAATACGGGAGGACATTAATGACCATGTGGAGAAATAAATAAAGGATTGAGAAATGTTCTAATTTTATCGACGATTAAAGAGACATCCTCAGAAATATGACTTACAATCTCATATATGTGATATGTGATTAGATGGCTATCACTTATCAGATACATATGATTATCTGATAAATATAACCGTGTCGTGTCTGCATATTAACTCGATGTGAGCGTCTTCTGGCCTTATAACGTGTGGTAATTGCTGCGTGTCGCCGCCAGGGGGCGACCGCGCTGCACCGAAACCCGTCAAAGGTCAAACCACGCTGCTTCTTAGAAAGACCGTGTGATTAATTCACCAACGCTATCCAGACTATAATAATCACTAAACAAACATGTCCTGGTTTTGATGTTTCAAAAGCGTCTGACGCCACGATTAATCGCACATCCAACTTGCAGCCATCACGTGTGAAACTACTGTGTACGATAGATAGTTAATACTAACTATCTATCGTACACAGGACATTTCAGAGAGTTGAATTGACTCTGTGGGATTCAATTTTAACTCTAAACTGGTGTTTATATTGTCTCAATCTCGTCAGTGTTAACAAGTTAACTCGGAATAAGTGTCAAAAATAAATCTGCCCAGTGTTAAAAACATTACACATAATTTAGCTGACACGTTTATCCAAAGCGACTTACATTACATTTTTAAGCCATGGTTTTTGCATTTTAGCCTGGGGAGCAATTAGGGGTTAGGTGTCTTGCTCAGGGACACTTTGACGTCAATGGTTGGACATGGTTCCCATCTCACCCTCTCTAATCCACGCGCCACAGTACCTAGAGTTAAACCCAACACCAAGAAATGTGACACTGTACAGTTACATTTCAAACCTATCAAATAGTTAATTTAACTCTACTAAGTGTCACAAATGCATCTGATCTTGACACTGAATAATGACTCCAGCTCTTTTCGTACAACTGACTCTGTAAGAGTTGAATTAACGTTTTGCAGTGTGATTTCAACTCTGCACTTCAACACTTTTGCCGGAAAATGAACTCTAAAGAATTTTGTTGTGTAACTTTATCTTTACTATTCGTCTCACAAATTCAAGAGCAAAGAAGGAGAGGAATCCAGCAGCCGCTTTATGACTTATCGTTATTGTACAGTCAACGCCTTTACAGAAGAAAAAAAAAAGGTTTTGAAATGTCAATATCAGGTTTTAGTTGAAGCGTTTCGCCCTCCGTCGCCTTTACTCTGCTAAGGTCAAAGGTTCTACGTGTGTTTGACACCCCGGTTCGCCGTCACGGGGGGGGCCCCCCCGGGGCGTTTCTTTGTTGCGTCCGAAGAGGCGGAGCGACGCTTCGCCTTTTCACCCATTCGAGGATGGACGAGCGGGACACGTTCTGGAAGGCCGTCTCCCGGCGGGCCGCGGCGCGCCGCGCTGCCCCTCGGTGCGCGCCCCACTATGGACCGCGGGGGGGACGAGCGGCACAGGACGAGGAGGAGCAGCTGCGCGCCACACAATGACGGACGACAGGGGAACCGCGCCGCGCGCCCCCGAGGCGCCTCGGATGCGGGGCGAAGGCGAGAGACTTCGAACTTTTGGGCGCTGGCCCGCGGACGCGCCCGTCACCTCCGGGGAGCTGGCCGGCGCGGGCTTCTTCTACCTGGGCCCCGGGGACGAGGTGCAGTGCTTCTGCTGCGGGGGGGTCTTGAAGTGCTGGGCGCGCGGGGACCGCCCCGCCGCGGAGCACCGGCGGCACTTCCCCGACTGCGGGTTCGCGCTGGGTCGGCCCGCGGGCAACGTGCCCCTGCCGGCGGGCTCCTCCGACTCCGTGGACGGCCAGCTGTTGAGCCAGCTGCAGAGGATGACCATGGACGAGCAGGGCACGCCCGGGCAGGCCGTGCACCCGCAGCTGGAGGCCGAGGACACGCGGGTCACCACCTTCCACAACTGGCCCGCAGAGGCCTCGGTCCAGCCAGATGTTCTTGCACGGGCGGGATTCTTCTACACAGGTGCACGTTGTCTCACTTCACATCTCACGCCGTCCTTCTGCTTTCTCTGAAATACCTATAGCGCCTTTTGCAGTGTGAATGCGTGTTTCTGTCGGTCGGTCGGTCGGCCCTGACCCCAGCAGTGACCTCTCTTTGTGAGAGAGTTCATGGGACAATTGTCCTGCTGAGTCATGGTGTTGTGGACAGAACCACCTGGACAACACTGGGGCTGCTAGAGAAGTTCGACAGCTTCAGGCGACACAGAATGCAGATAAATAAAGTGCGGCGTTACAGTTCGACCTACGACGGGATTCTTTTATCTTTAGAAGTATGGTTTACAAGAGCAATGAGAACTGTAGAGCGTTTCTGTCCAAAGACCCTCATCTCAACTTTAATTTAATTCGTTTGCATGTCTTGATGTTACAAATCAAAAAAGTGCGACGGTTGTCTTTTAACAATCCGTATGATTCACCGCATGGTGTCAGAACCGAGGGGGATGGACAGAAGTGCCATCGATGTGCAAATCCAGTCCTTCAGCAGTAGAACCTAGAACGGCACATATATATATATATATAAATATATATATTATGATTATTATATAACAGCAACAATAATCAGACAAACATACGATCATAACGATAGTCCATGTCCACCCTGACAGGCCACGGAGACAACGTCAAATGCTTCCACTGCGACGGGGGGCTGAGGAACTGGGAGCCGGGGGACGACCCCTGGCAGGAGCACGCCAAGTGGTTTCCACGGTAACGCAGTTTTGTGTGTGTGTGTGTGTGTGTGTGTTTCAGAATTCTTTCAGGAGATGTCTCAGACTTTGTGTTGTTCTCAGATGTGAGTTTCTGATCCAGGAGAGAGGGCAGGATTACATCAGCAACGTGCAGGACTCTCACTTCCACCTGGACGACACCGTGGTGAGGAAGCTCCACCCCGCTCGCACGGCGACGCGCCGGGATTCAGAAATATGACGTTTTCTTCTCTTTCCTAGAGCGGATCGCAGAGCTCCGCAGGCAGAGACGCGGGCTCCAGAAACGGTACGTCACGCAAACACCTTTAATCCCCCTGAAAGCTCACCTGCCGACGCCGGAGGTGCGGAACACGCAGCATCCTCTGCAGCTCGCCCCGTGCCAAAGGGGGCCGGAGGCTCCCTGGGAGGACAGCGCGCACGTTGCCCTTCCTGAAAATGAAGGAACCGAATGTTAAAATTGGCTTTTCAACCGTCTCCCAGATGTGGTGGGCGGTCTGGCGGCCTCCTCGGCCATGCTTTCCCCCGTGGTGCAGACGGTGCTGCAGATGGGCTTCGAGGCGGCCCTGGTGGAGAGCCTGGTCAGGACCAGGTTCCTCCTGACGGGGCAGCACTACACCTCCGTGTCCAACCTGGTGTCCGACGTGCTGCAGGCGGAGCAGGAGGACCAGCGGGGGTCCCGGAGCGCCGGTAACGTACTTCAAACGTTGCAGTTCATACATGTATTTGTATACAATCCAGGAAGTGCGATGACCAGACGTTTGCGGCTCTTTGATTTATTCACTCTACCGCCGTGCTTCAGTTACGACCTCTGTGGTCATTTATTATTCAGATATATTTCAGCCAAAACCACAATGTCTTCCGTCCTAAACAAGTACTTTAGTTATTTCCTCTTAAGATGAAAGTGTAGTTTGAAAAAACAGAAGATATTCACACGTTTTGCTGTACACAAAAATATTTATTTATTTATAACTAAATGTTATATAAGGGTCAAGGGTCAGAAAACTGTTTTTTTAAAACTTATTTTCAGGGACCAAATCGTATTAATGTAATTAATTACTTAATTATAATTAATTATCATTAATCAGATTATTATTATTATTATTGTCTCTTTTTGAAGGTCATTCTTTTGTTTCAGTTTATTTAATTTAATTTAATAATTTAATATTATTTATCTTATTTCATTGTATATAATGTGTATCTTTTTATTCTATTCTTCCCTGTACATGCTGCTGTGATAACAACATTTCCCTCTTGAGGGATCAAAAAGTATCTATCTATCTAATCAGAGTATTTTCAATACCAACTTGAGTTATTAAGGATCGGCAGGTTTGACCTCAATCATTTTCCACGATGACCTCTTCAAAAATGTGTTTTTCTTTTACAATTTGAAAAGTGCAAATCTTAAGTGCCCAATTTGAAATAACCCAAACATGCAACGTGATCCGTCTTCTCGTGCGTCCTGCAGAGGCAGAGACGACGGAGGGGTCCAACGCTGCCACCGTGAGGACACCAACACCCATCAGACAGAAAGGTCAGAGGTCAAACGCCTCGCAGTGGCTGACTTTTACGGCGGACTCGACACTCAAAAGTGACTTTCTTTGTGCGTCATTTTGTCGTTTCCTCGGACAGCGACGGACCCGAGCCCCGAGGAGCTGCTGCGGCAGTTGCAGGAGGAGAGGACCTGCAAGGTGTGCATGGACAAGCTGGTGTCCATCGTCTTCATCCCCTGCGGACACCTGGTGGTGTGCGCCGACTGCGCCGCCAGCCTGCGGCACTGCCCCATCTGCAGGGCCGTCATCAGGGGCAGCGTCCGGGCCTTCATGTCCTGAGGGGCCTTCATGTCCCGAGGGGCCTTCATGTCCTGAGAGGCCTTCATGTACCCGAGGGGCCTCGTGCTGATTCCAATAAATAATCAGTGACCGCTGACTTTTTAATACCGTTGCATGTGTGTGTGTGTGTGTGTGTGTGTTTTATACACGACGGGACGCCGTTAAAAGTCACATTGTTTTATTAACGGACGTATTTACACACACACGATAAATAGGATTACACACAATCAGGTCACATCGAGGCGACACGGAGGAGAAAAGAGGCCGCTTCCACTTTCTATGCAAAGAAAACAAACAGGTGGAGACCAGCACATAAACACACTAATTGGTAAGGTCAGGGGGGGGGGGGGGGGGGCTGTATTGCACTGAGGAAGACTAGTTTCACATAGTAGCATTTCCTACTAATACTGATTATGTTACACTACGAGGTGCTGTGTGCGTCCACCGACCCACACACTCCACTCAGAGACGAAAAGGTGCTCACTAGAACCCCAGTGGGTTCTTCGGCTTGTCCCCAAAGGGGTCCGAGGGGTTCTACCTAGAACAAGAACTAGGGCCGCTTGGCCGGTATCACAGTATTCCGCATTACTGTTGCATTGGAATGACAGGGATGACGATCGGTGTTTAAACATTTACACGTTGAGATTCTGAATGATCTCCAGCAATGCGGATGTTAAAGGCAATGAATGAATGAACAGAACCGCTAATTACACCGGTCCAATGCAGCCTTTAAAACCACACAGACGACACAGGTTACAAATTCCCAAATCTACCAAGATTTCTATTCTCAAATCACAAAATCATCATTTTATTGACATGGCCCAGACCGAGCGGTGAAACGCTCCACCCAGAACCTCCTCCCCCATCTCTCTGGCCCGAGTGTCATCCACCGCAGCTCTACCTTCCGGGGATGCTAAGAAGAGCCGTGGTCATGAACACAGGGATTCTTCTGGAACCCCGACGGGTCGGGGGGGCTCACGCGCTGCGGTCATTGTTCACGGCACTTTTTTCGGGGTGTGGTTCCATGTGGGCCTTCTCTTCCAGCGGGGCCCCTTGAAGAACTCGTTGTTTCACAAAAGGGTTCTAAGTGGACCCCTCAGTCTCACCGCATCAGAGACATTCAATTATTGCATCTTGCCAAACCGAGTTGAGCCATCGCACGGCGGCCGGGTGACTTCCTGTCCGTCCCGACATGACGCCACGCGGCAGGATACTTACAGCCAGCGACTATAGAAAGAATCGCTTTGATTACGACCCGTTCGATCCCCAATGAAAATAGATCCGCCGATCATTTCTAATCAGACAAATAGCGCTGTGACAACGAGGTGGATTTATATGTAAACGAAGGAAAAATGAACTCGACCTGAATGATAAAGAAAATAATCGCGTAAGAACCAGAAGGGCAAAGCAAAGATTCATGCTGCACAGCGGTACGATGTATTATAATCATACTTATGAATAATAATTGGCTTATCACACTAATTACAGCTATAAACAAGTAGGCATCCTGCTTTGTAATAATAGTAATGACACATTTTACAGCCTTTTATCATTTAAGTCCACGTGTCTTAATACCTCATGGTTGTCATATCAAGCATTATTTTTCAAATGCATTAAATTACTTCACTAATTACTATTTCAATTAATTTAAAAAGTCATTGTAGGTGGTCCTTGTTTGTTTGGGACAAAAATAAAATAAAATGTGTTATTGATTTCTTTCCCTACAGAAAACTAATAATGACAAATAACTTCACAGTGAATTTTAGTAATAGTGATAATAATATATTACAACCATGTAAATTAAAAAGGGTGACTAATAATTAGGAACTATAAATGCTTCAGAATGTGCTGTGATTATGATTAATGTGTAGCTGTGATTAGATGAGTGTCTGTAACGTATCTAAAGGGTCTTAGCAGATGTGGTGGGTGGTCTTTGTGTGTTTGACTTGTAGGTGAGCAGATGGAACAGCAGAGAGCAGCAGCCGCTCGCAGTCGGGCGACGGCCACGTGACCCCCCCCCGCCCCCCCCACCAAAGGTCGAATAAAGAGCCGCGTCTCATTCACGGCCACCTGAAGACAGTCTGGCTTACTCGTGTCTCCAACATGTTCTAACAAAGCAAACCCTGTAAATAAAAGAAAAGAAAACATCCTAAAAGCATCAGACCGAGCTCCGACCCCCCCTCCGACCCCCCCGACACCCCCCCAGAGACCAAACCCACCGCAGCTCAGGAGAAACTATTGCTGTTTATAGATAAAAAAATACAACGTGACATTTGGTTGAGTTGGAGAGATCCCCTCCTACGTCATCCGCTTCAACTCCGCCCCTCTAAATACGATAGAAGTAGCTGTGTCGAGCAAAGAATTTACATACTTCTTT